GACCACAGAGCTCATGGACAGTGACTTCAAGGGCGGGGGTTTTATTTTTATTTGTTTCATATTCTTACTGGTATCTCACATCACCCAATCGCAACTAAAAATTCTAAGGCAGTAGCTTTACCAACCCGCTAAGTTGGAGAGTCCCCAGAAGGCTTTTCACACAGCGTCTTTCTTACTGTCCCCTGACTTGCTTTGCCTAAATGGATCACCCTAGGATGACAACAAAAGGAAGGGTTTTCATCTTGCCTAAGCTAGCTCTTCTCAGCTACTGGGGAACGCAGACACTCCCTCCTCCAACACCACACATTTTGGGGTTTATCACATGGTTCATTCTCCCCGTTGTTCGAACAGAGCTTCACTTGGTAGCTGGAGGTAAAGATCCGTCTCTGGCCTGTTGGAGATGACAGGGCTTCTCTGCGAGCCTGACATAGGTCATCCCCTTGCTCACCCTCCGTCTCCAGCCGGCCCCTCCTTTCCTTGTGCCCTGAGTCCCCAGGGCAAGAGGGCAGCCCCCGCCCCAACATAAGAGAAGGTGAACGCCAGCTCCCACCCCCAGCAGACCACAGAGGAGTCACTGAAACAAAGGACTGGATTCCACCCTAACTTTGTCAGTGTATTTTACCATGTCCATGAAATTATTAACTTTTTGCTAAAACATTCTGTAGTCAACCTCATGTCAATAAAGTATTGTCTGTTTCTTTGATGCAGATTCTAATGTAGTTCTTCTGTTTTAGCGTGTAGCTTCTGGCTTGGGCATAGCCTGGATTGTTGGGCGAGTTCTTTATGCGTATGGCTACTACACTGGAGGTAAGTATAGAGGAGCAGCTGCCAGGAACACACATTTGGAATCTGCTGCTGCTGCTGCTGCATTTTTCTTGTTAGCAAGAGTTTTGAAAAAGGGAAAGAAACTTGATCTTTACGTGAAAGGTCCATTATTTACTCTTTTACTGATCTTTAAGTAGGAACAAGCTTGCTGTTATTAAGTATTTTCTGTGTCACCTGCTGTTCTAAGAACATTGTATAAGCTATTTAGTCTTAAAATTATATGATCTAGACAACAGCAGCCCATTTTGTACATGGGGGAACCCAGCTTTAGCAAGATTGAGATTCTAAGTCACAGACCTATGTCAACTTTAAGTCAGATTCACACCCAGTGTGATGCCCCGAGCTCCTGCTGCAACCCACCGCTTTAAATACTGTGCCCCGCCGGGTGGGGCAAAAAAGACTTTCTGAGCTGTACTTAACTTCTCCGAGAAGTGGGGAATTCTTCCGAAGGTCCTCGAACAATGTTACTCGATTCACTATACCAAAGTTTTTCTAACTATGTAAAATCAGTAATTTTTAAAATTACTGATTTGCCTTTTGTTTACAAAACTATATAACTTCGGGAGCACAGCTTCACACCTTGGTGTGCGTGTGCCCCACTGCCTCCCAGTACACTATCAAACTGACCACGTCTAACCCTTCTTCCCACCCCCTTTCCTTGAGGTCTCCGCCATCTTTCCCACAGTCTTAAGATTTTTCCGACATTCGCCAACCCTATTATGGCACAGTCCTTTGCCCACAGCTTGAGGCTAAAGAGTTGGTTGGCCTCTTAGGAGCAAGTGTTCGGATGTCCAGTCCAGATGCCCCCTCAGGACAGCTGTGGAAGCTGTGAGCAGCGTCCCACTGGAGCATCCCCTGTAACTTCTGCTCTTGTATTTTTCTTTTCCAGAACCCAGCAAGCGAAGTCGGGGAGTCCTGGGCTCCATCGCCCTCATTGGCCTGATGGGCACAACTGTGTGCTCTGCCTTCCAGCATCTTGGTTGGGTCAAAACTGGCCTGGGCAGTGGAGCTAAATGCTGCCATTAAAGAATTACCAGGTGTTTGAAAGCTCTCATTCACTTTGAGTGACTTATTTCCAGTTACTTTTTTTTTTAATATAATAAAAACTTATCTGGCATCAGCCTCATACCTAATCCTGACTCTGTCACTTATTTCTTTGTGAGTTTTTTCCTAAAACAAGTGACCTGTTCTCCTAGATGAGAGGAGACACAGGTGTGAGGATCCCTCACCCTGCCAGCAGGTGCTACTAGGTAAGTGGAGTTGGGAATGTCTAATTGTAGGCATGGTCCTAAACAGGCCGTGCTGGTGAGAAGTTGGAGTTCAATGATGGAAAGTCTTTAACTTTAGTTACAAGTTTACCTTACCACTTGGTGCTAGGATAACAAGGGTTTCTAAAATCTCTAGAAGATGCTTATATTAAGAACTGAAATGAGGGCTCTCCCTGGTGGCACAACAGGTTAAAGCACCGCATTAGAAAGCTCTTCCAAGCCACTGCAGCACAGTTCGACCTTGGCCAGGGAGCTGACCCACATGGTGCAGCAGACCTCTCCTGACCTGCCCACTGCGACCTTCAGCAGTGTACTTTGTCAATCTATGTGTTCTGCTCCCCACTCTGTCTCTGGTGAATCCTCTCACCCACCATACCTCTGGCCTGTACCCCAGTTCTGTATGCATAAACAATCTTTTAAAATAATATAGTTTATTTTTACATCTTTTTTTTTTTTTAAAAGAATGCCCCTTTAATATAACCCTGGTGATACAGTGTGTTAAAGCACAGCACTGTGAAGCTATCTGCAGCCACTACAACACAAATTCGATCTCCAACCAGGGAGTTGACCCACAAGCACAGCAGACCTCTACTGTCTCACCTGCTGCTCCTCTCAGCAGTTTACGTTAGTCAGTCCCACCTGTTCTACTCCCCATTCTGTCTCTGGTGAATCCTCTCAACCCATCCCAGCCCCACACCTCTGGCCTATGCCCAGTTCTTGTATGCATAAATGAATAAATCTTTACAAAAAAAAAATATGCCTTCATAAGATGAAGGTAATGGTGATTGGTGGGTTTGGGTAGCCCTAGCTTAAATAATAGAATTAAGAATTAGTAGGAAGCTGGGGTCTTGTTGAGCTTTGTCTTTTTGGTTGTTAATAGGAGGTACACCTAGAGTTGAGCCCTGATGGAGGTTCCTGGCATTAGTGAGCAGTGGCCCTTCACCTTTGCTTCAAATCGTGGCAGGCAATGCTTTCAATGTGATCTACCTTTGTCGTTTGCTCTTACAGAAATGGGGTCCAATGAAGTCTCATATAAACCCCCAATACTTAAACAGGTGTTGTGATCGGAGTGGGAGCCCAGGCAACCCTCCACAGTACTCTGGGAGTTCCTAGGACTTGGCAGAATCGTTTCTAGATGACTGTTTTAGAGAAGCTATCTACTTGTCTGGTGAGCTTGTTTCTGTTAAATTCCTTATCTTTTTTTTTTTAAAGATTTATTTATGCATACAGAACTGGGGTACAGGCCAGAGGTGCAGGATTCACCAGACAGGGTAGGGGCAGAACAGGCCGACTGATGAAGCACACTGCTGAAGGAAGAAAGGCGGGTCAGGAGAGGTCTGCTGTGCCATGTGGTCACCTCCTGGGCGGGGATCAAACTCATGCTGAAGTGGCTTTAGCTTCTTAGTGCTGTGCTTTAACCCACTGCACCACCAGGGAGGGCCCCTAAATTTCCTATTTTGTGGGCCCATTGGCATAAATACTGTTACCACTCATGGCTAATCTGGCAGTGTACATTCCAGACAGCTTATATCCATAGAAAAACCTCAGTTTTGTTCCACAGCCCACAGTAGCTCCACACCACTCTGAAGCATCACCCTCCGCAGACAACTGTGTGTCTTTGGCCATGTTTTCCACCTCCCTCAGCCCTAAATTGCCCTGTGAGGGTCAACCTGTGGTGCATGTGCAGTGCCCTGCTTGGGACTCCCGCAGCCAAGGCCAGCTGGGGTCTAGCACCAGACATACATGGGACAGGAGCCACCTGCTGGCAAAGCATCAGTCACCAGGCGATCCCCTGTGTTCCAAGGGCCGCACTTCCCTTCACATGGCTGACAGCACTTGCCCCCAAGGATGCCCTTCTAACTCCATGCCCACTGCACAGCCTTGGGCTCCTTCCTTCTTAAGCGTCACTACCCAGGGGAACTTATGATGGGAAGGCACCCCATCTCCCATGTCGAGTACAGTAACTGTGACCTTCATGTGGCTTTAAGTATTTGAAACATGGCTAGAGCACTACGGAGACTGGTTTGTTTTTAATTAGTGATTATATATCGCAAGTGGATACAGTGCTTCAGAAGCACAGTGGGAAAGCGGTTCACACCTTGGCTGCCCATTAAAGTGCCAGACCAGGACCTTTTGAGAATCCAGAGGTCTGGGCCAGACCCCTGTTCAATTCAATTAGAATCTCAGGATTTTAAAAACCTCCTCTGGGTAATTCTAAATGAACAGCCAACTTTGGGAAGTTTAGCCCTCAAAACCGTGCGTAAGACTCACCTGAAGCTCTTGTTAACATGCAGATTTGGTTGCAGAGTCTGAACTGAGGCTGAGCGGCTGCGTCTGACAGACCCCAGCTGAGAAGCCAGGCTCCAGGTCTGGCCTGCCAACCTGCTCACTCAAACGTGGAGCACAGGACAGGGCATTTGTGGTCTTTAGTTGACATTCTAATTGAAGATACATGACCAACATGGATTTTCAAATAGCAATGCTTTGATATACATTCAATAGCCACCAAGTAAGCACGAGTGGCTACGTTAGCATTAAAGAGAAACACTTCTGGCCTCTAGCTTTAAGGAGCCTGCAGGCAAGGACCTAGAGAGAACATATGCTCAGGTTTGAGGAACAGCTGTGTGGGATTCCTGACGGAGAACAAGGCCCGCAGAGTAGTGAGCAGGGAGACGCAGACATCAGAGAACAGTGCCGGTCCGGGTGGGTTCGGCCAGCCAAAGGCCAGAGTAGCGTGTAAAGCAAGAACATGATGACAGCTGACTCATTTTGAAAAGATGGCTCACTGCTGAGTAGTTTTTGGGTGGGTTTTCATAGCCTCATTTAATTGCTATGGCTTGGTCAGTTACTTCTATCCCTTTTGTTGACATTTCCCCCTCTGATATTGAAAAGAAAGACACCAAGAGCTTTCAATGTAAAAAAGAAAGAAATCACTTTTAATCAGCGGAAAGCTGTAGAGTAAATGAATTAAAAATCAGGCCTTTTATGCCTTCCCACATTAGCATGTGACTGGCACCTGCAGTCTTGCACGCACACCTAGAATTACACGCACACCTAGAATTACAGACACCTGGGCCCAGAGAGCACAGGGCGTGCGTGCATGTGATGGGGTCACCTGTGCTGAGGGACATAGGGCGATGTTGCTCTGAGTGGTACAACTACAAGAGACAGCCAGAGAAATCCTGAGAGAAAGCTGGTCTGTCCCAACTCAGCATCAATGCCTGTAAAAATCTATCGACGACTCCATAATTACCTTAGAGAACTGAAGATGAACCTAACCAGCCTGGGATTGTTGTAGAAGTTAAACTCACAACTGGGCAGGAAGGACTCACTGCTCCCAGTTTTCTGGACCATCCTTAGTTGACTTAAATGGGTGATGTCATTAATTTAAACCAACTTTCATGGCCAGATTTTCATATTAGAGAGTGGTAGATTTAGGAGTACCCACAGTGAAAATCAAAGGGAGAAAAGGGGCCTGTGCTACCTTTTGTATGTGAATAGTTTCTCTGCCTAGAAACGTCTTCTTGTGCTCACTGTAGCACTGGGAGGGGCCCAGGGCCTGAACAGAGGACACACTTCTGTTGGCTCCCTCCCCCGGTTTCTCTTTGAGGAATTGGCAGAAACTAGTTTTCTCCCAGTGTCTAAGTCACACTTGAATCCCCTAAGATTGAGTGAGAACATTCTGTTGGCTTGCCCAGTGTTGTATCTGCATCCTCTGTGAAGAGGATTCAAGTGGTCTTGTGGTTTATATGGACAGAATTTGCCTATCATCATATGTAATTAGACACAGGCCCAATAACAAGAATCATGCCTTATTTATGACCACAAAATGAGCTACTGTGATGGTCAAGTGTCAAATGGAACATGCCCAGATGGCTAGTGAAACATTACTTCTAGGTGCCTGGATGATGAGCATGTTTCCAGAAATCATTAGCATCTGAACTGAGTAAAGCAGGAGGCCCTCACCCATGTGGGTGGGCAGCATTCAATTCATTCAAGGCCCAAACAAAAGAGGCAGAGGAAGGGTGAGCTCTCCCTCTGTGCTGAGACCTCCATCTTGGCCTGCTCTCAGACACCTGTGCTCCTGGTTCTCAGGCCTCCAGATTCAGACTTAAGCCAGCTTCTCCCCTGGCTGTGAGGCCCTCACTCTCAGAATGATTACCATTACCAGCTTTCCTGGGGATCCAGACAGCTGGCTGTGGCCCTCTCACTCCACAGTCACTGCAACAATTCTCATAACTGACCTCCAGGAAGGAAGCAGCGGAGGGAGGACACGGCAAGGCCCTGAAGCCCTACAGGCCACAGCCACCCAACAGCTCTTGGAGGCCAGGCTCTGCCCCAGAGGCTGGGGAGCCTGAGCTCACCTGGGCCATATGAGTTTTATTACAGCAACCGCTATAGGCCCTCTTGTCCTCATTGCAAACAAGATCAAATCCTCTGTCCTGTACTTGTAACATCAGCCCTATCCTTGGTCAGACTATGATATTAAGATGTGTTTAGTTTCAAAGCATGACATGAAAGGATGACCAGGGTGATTTAATTTTAGTATGCTACCGTAACGCACCAACGTGTACAGTACTGGCCACTCTTCCATCCCGGAGAGCACACTCTGCCTCAAGGGCTGGAGACAGCTCTAGGTGGAAATGAGGTGCTAGCCCTGCAAGTTCACATTCACACAGCAGTGACCCATCTGTTATCTCTGCCCTTCCCTCCCCATCAGCTCTCTCAGAGGGGTGATAAGGGGCCAGGACTTAATGTCAGGGAGCAGAAATCATCTGTACTGACTGACTCCACCAGGAACAAACTTTAAAGCCAGCTAGGAAATGGACAGTAACCACAGTCAGATATGCGTTGATGCAATCCTGTTCAACTCGTGCTCCAGAATCATGTTGCTGGCTCTTACAGATTAATTCACAACATTCTCGATTAATATCTAAAAGGCACTTGTCACATTTTCAATTAGGAAGATGATTGGCAGGTGAAGAATAACACTGGCCATTCCCCTGTCCTGAACGGCCACCCATCTGGATTTAAAGCAGTATGCAGCTCAACGGCCTCGCACAGTCCACAGTCCACAGCCTGGCCAGGCTGACCGCTTGTCTTCAAAAAGCAGACTCCACATCACCCATCTCCACGCACACAGTCTTGAGCTGTGAGTAGTACTCAATGGTCACGCGGCCATTCTCTCTGCCAAACCCTGAAAGCAAGAGAAGGGGCGAGTTAGAGCCCTCGCTGCATGGTGTGACAGGACCTGGCAGTTGTCATAGGCAGGGCTGGAGGAATAACACAACTTAAGAGTTCTGGAACCAAATCCTCAGATACAAGTAGGCGCAGCAGAGCTGGGCTTGGGAGCTGGCCTTTGAGGATGGGTCTCATTTCCTACCAGCAGGACTATTTGTACTGAGGTAACACTGGATCCCAGCATTGTCTATGACTCAGACAGGATCACACTCCCCGGCCCATGCAGGTCACCACACCCACTGCCGAGACCCACCACAGTCTGCAGGTGTTCACTGCTCTGGGCAGGTGTCTGAGAAGGGGCAGGTGTTCTCTGCAACAATCACCCTGATGCCTTCATTTTATCTTATTTACTTTTGTAGAAAAAGGTGTGAAAGTAGAATTCCAAAGTCTAGGTTTGGGAGCTGGCTTTGCTGGCCTGCAAGTGTGAGCACACTGCTGAGTCGCCGAGTTTTGGCTATATGTGCCATATCCCAAGGGGAGGGACAGAGGAGGTGACTTGGCCACAGCCACCTGGCTAGGCCAGGCTGCCTCCCTGCACCCACAAAGGCTTCTCCTGTGCCCACTGTGTGCCAGGCACTTGAACAACACAGGCACACACTCTGCTTTCACAGAGCTTTCATTTTTGCAGCATAGAGCAGGTGAAAACAAGCATATACAATGATTGCAAATTATGAAGAGAGTGCAACAGTGGAGAGAGTTGCTTTAGATGAGAGTCAGGGATAGCTTTTCTGAGGATTAAAGGTCAGAGATGCTAGCTACTCAAAGCACACACAGGCTTTTACACAAAGCATTCCAGGCTGAGGGAAAAAGATGGTGGGGCAGGGCAGATCTGAGAACGGAAATAGGAACACACACATGGGAGAGCAGAGAGTGAGGGGAAGGTGGGCTGAGGTGGCCTGGATCTGACCGGAGTGAAAATGGACTCTGGCGATCTCGACCCTCAGCAGCCAGGTCACAGGTAAACATTAATAGACATAACAGACACCAAAGTTTCATGTGACCGCTTTTACCCTCCTATGTGTGAGAAACTGCACTTTTCTGACAGATCTCAGTAAAAAGAAAACTTCTGTTTGCAACCCACCATAATGACTTCGCTCAGGGGTGACAATCTGCGGCCTAATACGGGACTCCCTCGGGGTCATGGTGTGGAGAACAGACTTGACATTAGACTTGACATTAGTGAACAGTGACATAGACTTGACATTAGTGAATGGAAACTTCTCAGGAATGCTAGGCGCAGTCAGAGAGCGGGATCTGATTTGTGTTTTAAGATCACTTCGGTGCTGTGTAGAAAAGACTAAGGTGGGGAAAGGCAGAGCAGAAAGGAAGCGGTCCCACAGGGGGTGCTGTGGGGTCAGGATGTGAGAAGCGGCACGCCTGCAGATCAGCCTCTGAGAATGGGGTCTCCACAAAGTCCAAACTAACATTCATACCGCAGCATGTGGGCCTTCAGAGAATAGTTACAGACAACAAACCCAGAAGCCTGGACCCTCCCAGTACACGAGACTTAGAAACCTGCCCTGTTGTGCTCACACGGCGGAGTGATGGGTGGGTACAGGAAACGCCTGGGCAGTGGCTAAGGGAAACATCCCTGTGGGCCAGCCAGTGCCATGATGATGACTGTGCTGACTGTAAAATGTGAGACTGAGGGTTTCTTATTGATTTAGCATGGCAGAAAATAAATTAATGTACGCTTCCTGAGCTCCGACTTTAGAACACAATATGTGAGCTCTCGTATAGGAGCAGGAGTGGCTTACACCTTTTTGAGCTGTACAGCAGCAGTTCACAGACCAGCTGCTTATGTATCAGAACCTTCTGGAGAGCTGTAGGAAAACATTTAAAGATTCTCGGAGATGGAGGCAGGTGGTCTGGGGAGCAGCAGGAAGCCTTGCATCTCCCCAGGTGATTCAGACGCACAGTCAGGAGGAGGAACCTGGGCTGTGGGGACTAGATCACCAGCACTGATGGGGCCCCACCGCTCTCACGCTTTCCGGCTCCTCACCTGACTTCTTGTATCCACCAAAGGGCAACTCCACGGGACTGACATTGTAGTTGTTGATGAAGCACACTCCAGCCTGAAGCTCGGCCGCCACTCTGTGAGCACGCTGGATGTCCCTGAGCAGGAGAGATCGTATCCATTATTCAGGTTCTTCTACAACTTTAACAGGTAAAGTCAGACTGCCAGTTCTAAAAGTCTCAAAATAATAACTGAGCCTTGACTCTTCAAAACCTTGTTTAAAATCTTTCGTCACTCAGGTCAAACAATTGAGGATTAGAGTTTTACAGTCTCAGCCAAAATCATCTATAAAATAAGTTCCAGCATCAAAGATGCCAAAACATTTCAATGGATAAAAAAGGCGTCTGGTAGTGCTGTAACCACCAGACTTTCACATGCAACAGAATGGAGAGTGACCCTTGTCTTACCCCTTGCGCAAAATTAATACAAATGGATCACAGACTTAAGATCATAAAACTCATCAAAGAAAACAGTAATAAATCTTTGTGACCTTGGATGAACCATCATCTTCCCTGACATGACATGGAATGTAAGGGACAGAAGAAAAAATGGAGTAATAAAAGTCTTATCAATGTTTAAAATTTTTATGCTGCAAATGAGTCAAGAAAGTAAAAAGACAGCTCACAACCACACCTCACTGGGCCAGGGAGGACCAGGAGGAAGGTGC